CTGAGGTTCAGTAGACTCCCTCCTGGTGATGAGGTCCCGTCGACCTTGCAGCGGTGCGACGGAGATCCGGTCCGGCGAGAACTTGAAGTAGCCGTACGCCGGTGCAATCCTGCCCGCCGTCACGTGTGTTGTCACCGAGAGCCCTCCACCACTTCGTGGAGGAGAACGGCGTCGAACATCGACGTCGGCATGCGAGCTCCCTACAGCAGCCGTCGACCGCTGCACTCGCGCCTGGATTCCGTCGACACCACCGTCGAGCTTGATCACTCCTCTCTGCCTCGTGCCTTTGCTGCCGCTGACTCGTGCACCACCGTCGACCTCGTCGTCGACGCCACCTTCGTTGCGCACCGGTCGAGGAGAAGCAGGACGGGAAGGGTGTTCCGTCGCCCACTGCGACTGGATGCCCAACTCGGCGATCACCAAGGGGATCATCCCGTACTCGCCATCCGCGTGGCGTTTCCTCGCGTCAGCAAAATGTGCCTCCAAGGTGTCCGCTACACCCGCATCAACTACGGGGTCGACCATGGCGACTATCGCTGCTGCCGGCCTACGAACGACTTAGTAGGTGCAAAAGTCGGCTCCTATCTGAAGGTCGCGTGTTCGATCCACGCTCACCGCACTATGCGGAGATTCACTCTACAAAGGTAGTGAGCTAGACTACGGGGTTGGCACGAACAACTAGAGGTGATCGTAGCTTTCCTTGGTTCCTTAGTGCTTGCACATTCACGGGAGAAAACTGCAAGAGTTTTCACTAGCAAAGTTGGAATACAAGAATAATGAAACAAGCAATGACAACAATGACTATATCACGCACCTAGCAATCCTGCTGCTAGCCTGGTCGACCGCTAGGACAGCTCATTCGATCGCCTGCCAGCGTTGCGTAGAGGAGCCGCGCCAGCACTGCAGAAAGGCGACCTGCCAACGGAGCAGGTCCACAGCGTGCCAACGCTGCAGCAGAGCGGCTGTCCAGCGTTGCCGCGTAGAACACAACAGTGTGACGCTCGCAGATGTGCGCGTTGGGCATTCGTCGGCTGTTGTCTGCGCCTGACGAGCCATATCGACTCCGGGATACCAGCCCGCAGTCGCCTGCGCCATCGCAACCTCGACGACGTTCGAGTGCCTCCGCAGAACTCGTCGAGCAGGTTACTCGGTCGACCCGGTCGACCACCAGGTGCTTCCGGTCGACCACCACTGCTTCTGGTCGACCAACAGGTCCCTCTGGTCGACCACAACTCCTGTCGAGCTACCCCCTGGTCGACGGACCCCTTCCGTCGACCAAAACCATTAGCGGTTGTCGTCGAGCTCCCCTCTGACAAAGTTTGAAGAAAGAAAGAGGAATGAACTAGCAGAAATGGGGATACAAATAGCAAACCCTAGAAGGGTTGTACTCGCTATAGAGCACCCCACTACAGGCTAGAACATAAGAATAATATTCTGACACACCCCCATAGCCAAAGTGGGGTGTAATCAGCAGAGCAGGCAAAGCAAAACAAGCTCAGAGTGGATCACAATGTCACCACACATTCTGAGCACAAGTTCAAGAAGAAATAGTTTTGAGTTCACAATTATAAGCAAAGCTAGTGGTAGTCACAACGGGCAAGTGAGGAGGAGGAGAGAGAGTGAGGGGAGAGGAGACAGGAGGCGACGGCTGAAGCTGCAGACACACGGGCAACAGGAGGCAGACTGGCACAGCGGCTACCGGACAGCGCCCGGACTACAGGAGTAACAGGCCCCGCGGCTCAAATAGCGGCGGACGGGCAACGGACCCACGGGCGGCTGGCACAGCTGGCTACGACTGGGCTACCGGGACAGCGCCCCGGACTACACGTGCTGCGGACGACAAGCCGGCAGCCTCCGCTCAACCTCGCGCAAACAGTCCCACCCCCCTGATACACACCCACTGCTACACCGCTAGCTCTACTCCCACGCACCCCCCCTTAAACCCTAAACCCCAGTCTCCCACACAACCACCCCCTTCAGCGACAGCTGCAGCAGTGGGAGACGAAGGAGGAGGAGCAAGGGAGGAAGGCACACCGGCCACCCCCATACCCGCCACCCGACGGGCGACGGGAAATGGCAGGGGGAAGGGGGGGGGGGGGGGGGGGGGGGGGTGTGGTGAAAGGGGCCCACCACGGGCCTGGTTGGAGGGCGGGGCCGCGACAAGGGGCGGGACCGCGACGGTCGAGGCGGGGCCGCGACAAGGGGCGGGGCCGCGACGTAGGGCGGGGCCGCTTCGAGGGGCGGGGCCGCGACGCAGGGCGGGGCCGCGACGTAGGGCGGGGCCGCGTCGAGGGGCGGGGCCGCGACGATCGGGGCGGGGCCGTGACATAGGGCGGGGCCGCTTCGAGGGGCGGGGCCGCGACGCAGGGCGGGGCCGCGACGTAGGGCGGGGCCGCGTCGAGGGGCGGGGCCGCGACGGTCGGGGCCGCTTCGAGGGGCTGGGCCGCGACGCAGGGCGGGGCCGCGACGTAGGGCAGAAGCCCGCCGCGCGCCTCGGGGCGCACAGCGGGCAAAGAACCGCCGCGCGCCTCGGGGCGCACGGCGGGCAGAAAACCGCCGCGCGCCTCGGGGCGCACGGCGGGAGGAAAAAGTAGCAGCGGAAGCGAGGTGGTAACCTACCCACAGGATCGATCCAAGGGGATCGACCTGCTCTAATAGCATGACAAAGTTTGAAGAAAGAAAGAGGAATGAACTAGCAGAAATGGGGATACAAATAGCAAACCCTAGAAGGGTTGTACTCGCTATAGAGCACCCCACTACAGGCTAGAACATAAGAATAATATTCTGACACCCTCGTCGACCGCTGCTCACTTGTCAGGTCGTCGGACTGCTCCGTCAACCTCCCGGTCGAACTGCAGGTCCTGGTCGACGTCCCACCTGTCGCCCAGACCAGTCAGTTGCAGCTGTCGAGCTCCCTAGTCGACAGCAACACCACAGCGGTCCTCTGCAGCTCGACGAAGCCTGTCTAGCAGCTCTCCCACTGTGAACGGTCAGTTGCTACTTCCGTACATCCGACCATGTCGTTGGCGTTGCCCAAGCGAGGGCGGGGCCAACACTCCATTCCTGTTAACAGACAGCTCTCCTTGGCTCCAATTCGGTTGAACAGGCTCAGGAGGCTCAAACAACTGGAGGTTATTGACTGCCACTCACTGCGTGAATCCATCCAATTTCTGCCGCCCTTTCTTGAGAAGCTGAGCCTTGCGACCAGCGACAGCACTGCCCCTCTTGTGGCAATGCCAATGCTGCCAGAGCTGAGACATTTAAGTCTATCTTGGGTCCGTGTGGACCAAGCACTTAAACTCAGCGAAAGCTTGTCGGGTCTGAGGCATTTGGAGCTGTTCTTAGAGAAAACTGCAACAGAGCTTCCATTCCCGCTGGCATCCCTTCCCCACCTGCGCACCTTGGCGATCTATCATGCTGCCAAGATTCCCCGACTGGAAGAGAGTATCGGCTCAGCTCTGCAGGAGCTAAAGGAGCTAGAGATACACAATGCTGCGGAATTGGCTGAGTTGCCGGAGAGCATTGTGGAGCTGCAGCAGCTGACTTCATTGGAGGTTCATGCATGCAGCAGCCTGGCTTCCCTCCCAGAAGGCATCGGTGCCTTGACCAGGCTGCGCAAACTGACCGTGTCGGATTGCAAGGCATTGATGCAGCTTCCTGCTTCTCTCACCCACCTCTCATGCCTGACTGAGCTCGATCTTTCCTCCGCCCGCATCGACTCGCTTCCTCCCCACTTTGTGCGGCTGGGCAGCCTAAGGCGGCTAGTCTTGGATGGGTGTTGGCGGCTCACGGCGCTGCCGTGTGACATGGCTGAGTTGAAGATGCTGCTGTATCTGGGTGTTAAGCGGTGCAAGCAGTTGCTGGATCGTGATGGGTATGTAAAGCCCAGTAGCTCGGATACTAGTAAAGTGCTTCAAATAGGGCTTAAGTGAGTTAGTGGACATCACTGAGTGGCTTGCTTGGAACCACAAGAGGTTTGAATCTGTAAAGCAAACATGCTGCTGAGACATGTTGCCCATGTTTATGTAGTTGCTGCTGCACATGTTCCTGTACTTGCTTATATGTTGTGCCTTTGTATGCACCTGTATGACTTCCTCTGGTCTAGAAGGCAGAGCTGAGATTTCATGTTGAGGAGAAAGACAATTGAAGATATGCTTTGCATTACCGTATTCTCCCGGACATAACACCCTAGGGTATAGCTAAAAATTCAGGGAAAAAATGGGGGGGGTCTCCTCATAGGAAAAAAATACATAATACCCGGGTCTTTACATATGGCATATTTTAGTGTTAGTGTTTTTTTAATTAGTCAATGTGGGTGTTTTGCTGGTCGTTTTAGCATCACTGCCTGAGGCGCGAATGTGAGTTTCGGCCTCGAACTTCATCGCCCCCACGAAAATGGCATGTGGCACCTCTCTTGTCACTTGCAACGGAAGATTCACCTGCACGTGGCGACAGAGAAATACTGTCATCACCCGGATATAAGACAGTGTTGAATAGTAGACAGGGGTTGTCTATTATACGGGTGTCTCTTATAAACGGGGTAGCCTCATTATAAGACACCTATTTGTGTGTAGGGGCAAATGGCAAATGTATAACGAGGAAGTATCTTCTAAACGGATTTTTGTCCATTTATAAGACTGATTTTTTTAATGCATGAGATAAGACATACATGTCTTATATCCGGGCGATGACGGTAGTGGGAGGGGGCAAATCTCGGCAGATTGCCTTTGAATGTACCGCGAAATTTCATCGAGGGAGAAATTCACACGATATTCTTCCGCTACTCGTTAACGACTATAATAATGAATCCGTAAGAAAAGGGGGGTGTTATAGAAAATCAGCCAAAAAGGGGGGTATAGTAGAAACGAGGTCTATCATAACACCCACCCCGCACAAGCTACCCGGGGGTGTACAATTATGGGGGGGTGTTTTGTCCGGGAGTATACAGTATGTTAATTCCAGTAGTTCTATAGCTAATCAAATATTGTACATCAGCTTGATCACTCGTCATCATCATCACACAAGTCAATTATTTCCTCATCATCATCTACAGCCACCACTGCCGGCTCAGCTCCACTCATCTGTTGCTGCTCTTGTTTCACATCCGGCACACCTTCCCCTTGTAACACCAGCTGCTGCTGCTGCTGCTGCTGCTGCTGCTGCTGCTGCTGCTGCTGCCCCAACGGCTGCTGCTGCTGCTCCTCCTGCTTTTGGGACCTTCCATCAAGTGGGCTCTCCACATGAGCCTCCTCTTTGCCTGCACCACCCGAGTGCTTCTCACCGGAGCAGCTCTGCTCACCATTCTCCTCTGTAGCCCGCTTCCCATCCACACTCTTCTTCCCACCACCCTGTTCCACAACAGCGTGATTTTCATCAGGCCCTGAAGCACCACTTGCTTTGCTGCCTGCCGCGTGCTTCCCCCCAGCGTGGATGAGAGGGGCGCCAGTCGCTTGCACACCCGCACTGCCCTGCTCTGCCACTGAAGGCACTGCAGGCGGTATCTCAGGTGACTGCAACGGCTGCACAGGAGGGGATCTCTTCAAAGAGGATCTCGTCAAACGTGCTTCAGTGGGAGGTAATTTTGGTAAACGTGTTCTTGCGGGAGGTGATTTCGCCGAAGCTGGTTTTGCCGGAGGTGATTTCGCCGAGGCTGATTTTTCCAAAGCTGGCTTTGTTGGTAGTGCAGGGACCACCTCCGCAACCGTGTTGTCATTCTCTGCTGGCACTCCAGCGGCCTCCTGGCCAGATCCCATTGCCTTTTCTGGAGGCGCAACAGGCTCTTTGACAACCGGCTCCCCTCTCTCTGCTGGCACTCGAGCCAACTCTTGGGTCAATGCGAGAGACTTTTTCGGGGGTGCTACAGGAACTTGAACAACAGAGTGCTCTCTTTCTGGTGACACTTCCACCACCATCTCATCACCTCCTTCTGGGGGCTCCTCACTCTCCTGCCTCTGCTTTGTCTTCCCCCCTCCTCTGGACTCCGTTGTTCCCTTCAGTTGCTCTGCTTCAACCCCCTCTCCTCGCCCCTTTACGGTTCGGATCCTCGTCTGTTGCACCTCTTGAGGTGATTCTTTCTCTCGGGGTCCCCGTGCTTGTTTGACACCATCCCCGTGATCCTTCCCCACAGCGCTGCCTCCGCCATCCACACCACCGCCTGATTGACCCTGCGTGGTTGGCTCCTTGTGGCCCTGCGTGATTTGCTTCACAGAACCACCGTCAGCAGAAAGAGACCCTGCAGGAGGAGCAGGAGGAGTGGCAGAACCAGCAGGAGCAGCAGGAGCGGCAGTGCTAGCAACAGCCTTGGGTTCTTCACTACAATCTATTGCTGCACCAGACGCCCATGCTGCACCAGACGGCCCTGCTGCACCAGACGGCCCTGCTGCACCAGATGGCCCTGCTGCACCAGACGGCCCTGCTGCACCAGATGCGCCTGACCTCTCACGCTCTGCTGCTCCAGAAGGTATTGTTTTGAGCTTAGCAGAAGCATCAGCCGTAGCGCCACTCACCTCCGCTGTCTCACTCCCTGCTGCTGCTACAGCCGGGTCACGTGAGCGCGTGGCAGATGCAACCTCTCTTCCTTTCGTCGATACAGCCTCATCGGCAATATTCGCAGGGCCACTCACACTCTCCCTGGCTGCTACAACCTCCTCCCCAGGATCAGCACATGCATTGTCCCAAGCCGCTCCCACCGCTACAGCCTCGACCTTGGAATCGGAAGGTGGATTATCCCCCTCTGCTACAGCTGCCTCCGCTTCGGCATTGGAATCAGAGGATGCATTCTCCCCTGCAGCTGCCTCAGCTTCTGCGTTGAGCCGGCGGATGAGCGCTACATACGGGTCACACTCCGCCTCCTCTTGCGGCTCCTGGGAAGTAGATTCAGAGCGGTTCTGAGCTGCTGCTAATCCAGCTTCGGACTGGTTCTGAGGGGCCTTGACGGAGGAGGTAGCTTGCAGGCGACTGGCAAGGGCAGCAGCTGTGGTAGCCGCTGGAGCAGCAGCAGCATGCGTGGCTGGAGTGCCGATTACATATGGCTCTGTCCATGGCACACTGCCCTTGGGATCCTGCTGCTCTTTTTTCTGCTGCTGCTGCTGCCGCTGCTGCTGCTGCTGTTGTTTCTGCTGCTCGTTTTGCTGCGGTAGCTGGTGTGATTGAGCCTGAGTTTGTTGTTGTTGAGTCTGCAGCCCCTGCTGCAACTGCATCACAATATCCTGCTGCTCCTTCTGCCGCAGCCGCTGCTGCTGCAGCTGCTGCCGCATCCCCACCCCCACCTGCTGCTGCTGCTGCTGCTGCTGGCGGCTCTTTAGTTCAGTTACCACCACGTCAATTGCAGTCTGAATGGTATCTGCAGTCACACCTGCCCCAGTGCTACCTGCATCTGCTGCTGTAGTGCGGTTCAGCTGGGACAGCCTTGCAGACTCACGCAGGCAGGCGAACGAGGCAGGCAGGGAAGAGGCGAGGGCGGGAGATGAGGCAGGCAGGGAGGAGGAGAGAGAGGAAGAGGCATTGTGTTTTTGTTCAGAGCGGCTAGTGAGACCTGAGAGATGCTGCTGCTGCTGCTGTTGCTGGTTGGATGCACGTAACTGTTGCTCTAGCTGCTGCTGCAACCGCTGTTGTTGCAGCAACTGCTGCTTCTGCTGCTCCTGCTGCTGCTGCTGTTGGTACAAGGCTCGTAACTGTTGCTCCAGCTGTTGCTGTTGCTGCTGCTCTTGCTGTTGTTGCCGCAGCTGCCGCAAATGCTGCTCCTGCTGCTGCTGTTGCAGCTGGTACAAGGCACGTAGCTGTTGCTCTAACTGTTGCTGCTGCGATTGCTGCTGCTGCTGCGGCTGCACCTGCTGCAACTGCTGCTGATACAAAGCACGCAACTGCTGCTCTAGCTGCTGCTGCTGCTCCAGCCGTTGCAATCGCTCCTGCTGCCGCAGCTGCTGCTGCAACTGCATTTGCTGCAGCCGCTGTTGCTGCTGCTGCTGCCGCCGCTGCTCCTCCTGCTGCTGCAGCAGTTGCTGCTGCTGCAACTGTCCCTGCGCTTGAGGCTGAACAGGGTCTTGAAACAACTTCTGGTACAGCTGCTCTATCTGCTGCTGACGAGTCAGTCTTTCTGGCACATCCTCTCTCTCTTGCTGCACCTGCTGCTGCAGGGTCGGATTGCTGGCCCTGCTGCTCCCATGCCCTGGGGCCTGTGCTGTGTGCCGTGGTTGAGTCGCCTGTACTGCTGCCCGTGGCACTTGTCTCTCCTGATTCAACTGCACACTTGCGTGTGCTGCATGTGGTGCATGTGACACATGCGCTGCTTGTGCCATGTGTGCTCCATGCGACACACGCGCTGTTTGAGCTCCATGTGCCATGTGCGATGAAGATGGCGCCTTCGCTGCAGTAGCAGCCACACCACCAGGTACACGACTTGCAGCAGCACTGGCAGCAGCGCGGGAGGTGGTGGTGGTGGCAGTGGTGGCAGCAGTTGCAGCGGCGGCAGCTGCAGTGGTAGCAGCAGCAGTGGTCTTGTGGTGGTATTCGAGGTTGAGAGCGCGGCACAGCAGCTCCACACGCCGCTTGCAGAACTCCACCACGCGCTTCTGCGCCGCGTTCCATGCCAGGTGCTCCTCCCGTGTCCACGGCCGTAACCGCTTGCCTGCTGGTATGCCTCCGCCTGTTGCTGCTGCTGGTAGTTGTTGTGCTGCTGGTGCTGCTGTTGGTGCTGGTGGTGCTGTTGCTGTTGCTGTTGGTGCTGGTGGTGCAGATTGTGCTGCTGTTGGCACTGATGGTGCTGCTGTTGGTGCCGCTGCTGATGCTGATGGTGCTGCTGACGCTGCTCCTGGCACCCTCTCTGGTTCTGCTTTCGCTGCTCCCCTGTCCGCTGCTTCCTCCTTCGTTTCCTCCTTCCCTCCCTCCATTGCTTCCCCCTTCACTTCTCCCTTCACTTCCGCCTTTGTTTCCTCCTTCGTTTCATCCTTTGCTTCCTCCTTCATTTCCTCTCTTTCTTTCGTTTCCTTCTCACTTGCTCCCTCCTTCGTTTCTTCCTTCACTTCTTCCTTCAATTCCTCCTTCACTCCCTCTGTTCCTTCCTCCATCGTCACGCGCTTATCAGCATCATCGACACCACTAGCACCACCATCAGCACCACTGGCACCAGCAGCAGCACTTGTTTTAGCTTTCAAACCCGCAATCATGCGATCCCCCTCAGCACCCTCTTGCACTGTTGCCGCCTTCCCCTCTGCTCTCCCCTCCGCCCTAGAACCTGCCACGTCACCCATTGCAACCTCCCCACCACCAACCACTCCCCCAGGGTTGGTTGTCACAGCATCAGGTTTGGTGGGTGCATCAGCAGGACCGGTGGTCGAAGCAACAGGATTGGTGGTCACCGCACTAGGTCTGGTAGGTGCATCACCAGGATTGGTGGGCTGGGCAGCCGAGGTGGCAACTGGGGTAGGTGGATTCGCCGGGATGTCCTCAAGGGAAAGGCCAATCATGTTGCGGGGCGGGGCGGGCGGCAGCGACAGCTCAGCGCGTGCCACGTCAGCGAGGCCCAATTTATCGTCGTTGATGATGTCACTCCACCGCCCGTAGCCGTGCCTGCGCAGGAGGGATGGGGCGAAGGTGAGGTGGAGAGGCGGTCATAGATTGGGGGGGAGAAGGGAGAGTGATGTCAGGCAGAAGGAAGAATGGAAAGCACGGGTGTGCCTGGCAAGTGGTCACTTCACACCGGCGGCAAGTGGCATGGCTAAGAGCGGTCATTGATAATGCCACGCCACTCCACCACTCGTAGCCGTGCCTGCGTGGAATTCGAAAAGGCAGGCAGGGTTTTGGGGGAGGGTTGAGACGGAGTGATGGCAGGCAGGCGCAAGCAAGGCAGGACGAGAACCACATGGGTGCGTCACTACACCTCCCAAAGCACACTTGGTAATTTCCTTGAGAGGCTGCAGGTCATGCTGAGGATATGTGAAAGTGAAATGCATGCACAAGGGCCACTCACTTGGTGATGCCTTTCAGCAGCTGCAGGTCGTGCTCGGCCCGCCAGTGCCGCGTGCGGAACAGCGGCGCCAACTGGCTGTGACTCTTCAGGTGCTCTGGTAGCCCCGGCAGCAACTCCTCCCAACCCAGCTCCACCGCTTCTGCTTCTTTTTCCAACCCGTCCTCCTGCTCACCCTCCTTCTTTCTTCCCTCCTTCTTTTCACCCTCATCCTTACCACCCTCCACCTCGCCCTCTCTCCTCCCTCCCTTGTCGCCCTCTCCCTCTCCCCTCACTTCCTCTCCCTTCCCTCCCTCTCCCTTCCCTTCCTCTCCCTTCCCCCCCTCTCCCTTCCCTTCCTCTCCCTTCCCTCCCTCTCCCTTACCTCCTTCTCCCTTCATACCCAGATCAACGTTTCCCTCTTCCCGCTTCTCAGCCCCCTTCGCATTTCCCTCCACGCCCTCCATCTCTGAACGCCCATCCCCCTTCCCTTCCCCCGCCACCCCTCCACGCCCCCCCTCTCCCTTCTCATCCCCTTCCCCACCACCCAAAGTCACGCCCTCCATTTCTGAAGGCACATCCCCTTTTCCTTCGCCCACCGTGCCTCCGCACACTTCCTCACCCGCCTTCCTAACAGCCTCTTCGTTCCCAAAAGGTGCTGCTGCTGCTGCTGCTGCCTCTTTTGTTGCTGCGCCTCCCGCTGCTGCCTCTGCGACCCTACACTCCACACCACTCGCGTCTGCATCCCTCTCTTCCACACCCCTTCCCTCTGCACTCCCACCCTTGGCCAGCCTCCTCGCCCTGACCCTCTCCCGCAGCCTCTCCCGGGTGCTCTCAGCCGCGGCCACCTTGGTGCGAATGAGGTGCAGCAGGGCCAGGCGGATGAGCACCTCCTGCGGATTCACGCCCTCCTTGGGCACTCCGTCTGGTGGCGGGGGGAGGACGAAGGAGGTGGGGAGGGAGGAGAAGAGGAGATGGGGATGGGGATGGGGGAAGTGAGAGGGGAAGGAGAGGGGAATGAGATGCAGAAGGGCCAGGCGGATGAGCACCTCCTTGGGACTCACGCCCTCCTTGGGAACTCCGTCTGGTGGAATGGGAAGGGGGAAGGGGAGAGAGGGGTAGGTTAGGGAAGAGGAGAAACAAGAGGAACACTCCTAGTTGACTCAGACACCGCAATATTCAAGTACAGGTATGTTGAAGATATATTTGCAGGTCCGTTGGTGGTTCAAGCATCTGAGGAGATCAATACCAGGGTGCCGCAACCAAGGGACGGGTCATGACAAGGAGGAGGAGCGAGAGTAGGGGACACAGGAAGCATGAATGAGGTTACAAGAATGAATGAAAGGTGGGTCACGTAGGATAGAAGAGCGATGATCGTACTGGGTGCACAGTGCAGCAGTGCTACATGCACAGTGCTACATGCACAGTGCTACATGCAGCGGTGCAACATGCACGGTGCTACATGCACGGTGCTACATGCACGGTGCTACATGCACGGTGCTACATGCACGGTGCTACATGCACGGTGCTACATGCACGGTGCTACATGCACGGTGCTACATGCACGGTGCTACATGCACGGTGCTACATGCACGGTGCTACATGCACGGTGCTACATGCACGGTGCTACATGCACGGTGCGACATGCACGGTGCTACATGCACGGTGCTACATGCACGGTGCTACATGCACGGTGCTACATGCACGGTGCTACATGCACGGTGCTACATGCACGGTGCGACATGCACGGTGCTACATGCACGGTGCTACATGCACGGTGCTACATGCACGGTGCTACATGCACGGTGCTACATGCACGGTGCTACATGCACGGTGCTACATGCACGGTGCTACATGCACGGTGCTACATGCACGGTGCGACATGCACGGTGCGACATGCACGGTGCTACATGCACAGTGCTACATGCACGGTGCTACATGCACGGTGCTACATGCACAGTGCTGACGCCAGAATGGGCTGCAATCGCGCGTGCTCGTATAGACACAGAGGTGAAGCCTTTTGACTTCAGTGTGGACCTCCAGGCTGCACGCCATGCAGGGCGTTGCATGCACAGTGCAACATGATGGACTGCAATCGCGCATGCAGAAAGGTGAAGCCTTTTGACTTCAATGTGGACCTCCAGGCTGCACGCCATGCAAGCGTGACGGAAGCAGAACGTGAGCAACTCTTACTGTTGCATCCTGAATCAGCTAGCAGCGTTTAGGAGCTTCTGGTCGCTATTTCACTGGACGTGATGACTTGGCTGATGACTCTGGGAGGATGAGATAGGATGACTGGCATAATCAACCAGGTCATCATGTCGTGTGCAATATCGAGAGGAAGCTCTAACACGCAGCCAGCTGATTCATGATGAAACAGCAGCATGAGTTGTCATGTCACACGTACCGCTTTCTTCATGCCTGCATGGTGTGTGTGCAGCCTGACCCATTAAAGTCGAAAGGCTTCACCTCTGTGAGCCTGGTGATCACTGAGCAACTGAAATGGAGTACCATTCAACGATTTTTTAGGCACGTCAAGAAACGATTTTTGAGGCGCCTCAAGAAAGGCTTCACCTCTGTGACGTGAGCGAGCCTGGTGATCACTGAGTAACTGGAATAGAGTACCATCCAACAGAACGGAACGCAATTGCGCGCGCTCGCATGGTGAAGCCATTGGCAGCAGTTGAAGGGGTAGGGGGAGGACGAGGCAAAGGCAGGGCACCTGAGAATGTGTCTTTGCTGGTTGGATCTTCTTGGATGTGCTTCAGATAAAGGGCACCGTAGCTGATGGACGGGGAGACGGATGATCGGAAGAAGCATGATTCAGAATAATGGCAGGATGAGAGAGCATAGAACAAAACAACAACAAAACAACACACAACCATTCAAGAGCATAGAAATTCATCATTGGAAGATGAAAACAACAGAGAATAAACAGCAGAGAATAGTAGACGCACATGCAGATCGGCTCAATGTTGTGATTTCCTGCAATTGAGAGATTAATAAAGTCGGCTCAGAAGTAACTAAGGCCTTCATAGTCTGCTTGGTGCCTGACAGGAACTCCTTTCCAGTTGGAGCGAAACAAGGTGTCTTCTTAGTAGACACAAAAGCGCACCTGTGAAACTCAGAACTCTAATGTGAGACTCGAACTCACTCTTTTATCTCCTGCAGGGTGCGCGGCTTGAGTCGAGGCACGAACTCCTTCCAGCTGAAATCACCGATCCCGAACCTGCAGCAACAATTACAGGGAGTGGAGGGCAACAAGAGGTTGTAGCAAGGAGAGGGGAAGCAAGATGCTGGCAGGCATGCATGAGAACCCCAAGCGCCATCCCCCCAAGCAAGCACAGATTCCCCCACACTCACCGCATGATGAGCTGCTGGAAAGTCATGCGCTGCTTGGATGTGAATCTCAGCACCTTGGTGTACGGCCATGCCCCCTCCATCACATTACATGCTGGTGACTGACAGACAGGTGAAACCCATGCATGTGACCCCAAGCGCCCTTCCCCACACTCACCGCATGATGAGCTGTTGGAAGGTCATGCGCTGCTTGGATGTGAATCCCAGCACCTTGGTGTACGGCCATGCCCCCTCCATCAACGGCCACACTTTCCTCCTCACTTCCCCTGCACTCCCCCCTCCTCCCGCCCCTCCCACAGCAACACCAGGAGAGGTAGCGGGAACCGGCTTCCCGTACCTAACCTTCCTCTTCCTACCCCTCCCCATACTCTCCTCCTCAAGCTCCACATCACTCTCCCCATCCTCCCCGTCGTCCTCCTCCCCATCCTCATCATATGCCTCATCCCCCTCCCCTTCCCCCCCTTTCTCCCCCTTCCCCCCTCTCTCCCCCTTCTTACCCCCCGCCTGCTCCCCCTCCTCCTCCCCATCAACCGTGTAATCCACATGTCGTCTCGCCCGCCTTCCCTTCCCCAGCTCCAAAAACGCCTCTATTTGTTCCGCCTCGTATTTGTCTTTCAGCAGTGACTCCCAGTACGCGGCTCTTCCTGCAGCGTCTAAGCGTTTGCCGTCTCTCTCCCCCTCCCCTGCCAACTCCTGTTCTCTTTGCCTTTCCCGCTCCAGCTCTCTCTCCTTCTCTGCGTCCGCCTCAGCTTGATCTGCTTCGGATACAAAGCTGAAATTGGCAACCTGCAGTGGCAGGGAACGTTTGGCAATAGAGAGAGGGCAAGATCGTTTCACCACGAGATTACTCGATTTTAACTGAAACCTTGAAATCACTTTCAGAACCGATAGGGTATGACATAGCAGAAACGGCATCGATGTTTTTCAACTGCCTTGAAGCCCTTGGGTGGGATATTGACACTTGAGGCGTTTAGTTGAAGTTAGTGGACTTGTTGCGGTTACATTGAAGGCCTTGAGAAAATCGTTGACAGGCTCATCCCTTTTTTTCGAGCACTAAGTTAGAAGTGCTCGAGATATCAACAAATAAGGCGTTCAGTTGAAGTAACATCTCAGACCTCCTGCGATTACGTTGAAGGCTTTGAGGTAGTTCTGTCCTTGTCAGGCTCATCCCTCTTTTCAGGTGCCTTAAGTCCTTTGAGATCCCAACATTTGGCGATCTTCTTAGAATTACCTTGAATGCCTTGAGGTAGTCGTTGTCCGGCTCATCCTCCGCCCGCTCCTCGCCCACTGTGCTGCGATCCAACAGCCTAGAGGGAGGCCAGTGGGGAAGGGGGGGAGGACAGGAGGTGAGAGAGGGAGGTGCACGGGGCACTACACCTTGAATGCCTTAAGGTAGTTGAGTCATTGTCCGGCTCATCCTGCGCCTGCTCCTCGCCCACTGTGCTGCGATCCAACAGCCTGGGAGCAGGCCAGAGGGGGGGAGGGGGAGAACAGGTGAGAGAGGGAGAAGGAATAGAGTAGAGGCGCCTTAGAAGCCGCCTGCTCCTCGCCCACTGTGCAGCGATCCAACAGCCAGAGACTGGAAAGAGAAAAAAGGGAGGAAGTGAGAGGGAGGAGGAGAGAAAAGCGAACGGGATTGGGGAGAAGGGAGAGCAGCAGAGCAGAGGAGAGAGGAGGGGTTGAGCAAGGGTACAAACAATGAAAAGCTAAAGGAAGTGGGCTGGAAAAGGGGGTGGAAGAGATGGAGAGGGAGGGTAGGTTGAGGGGATGAATGCCTTTAGGGGAAGACGTGGGGTGGGGATAACTGTTGAAGCACACGTCCCATGCCCTCTGAGGTTGTTGCTCATTCAACTCTGACATGCCCCATGCCCTATAAAATGCACATGGCGCAACAAACGCACCTCTCAATAGCAGCATCATCGTAGTAGATCCGCCGGCTCTCCTTCTGCTTTTTCTTCTCCTTCAGTTTCTCGTCCCCGGCTGCTCCTTTCTCAGCATCCTTGTCAGCATCCTTGTCAGCATCCGTGTCAGCATCCTTGTCAGCGTCCTTGTCAGCATCCTTACTGCCTTCTCCAGCCTTGTCTCCTGCCACCTCCCCACCACCTTCCTCCTCTTTCTTCCCCTCTCCCTCCTTTGCCTCTTTCCCTTCTTCCCCTTCCTCCCCTCCTTTCCCCTCGTCCTCCTCCTCATCATCCTCTTCAAACAACTCCTTTGCTCCGAATCGCAAAATGTCATCCAACTCCTCCTGTACAGGAGCAAAGGTGCACACAGCAACAGCCACGCACACCAGCAACAGGTGCACGCATAGCAACAGGTGCACACAGTTTGAAACAAGAAGAAGCCCATTTGTCAGATGCGATGTGACATAATAAAATACTCAACCGGTTGAGGTGTCGTGTCGCATTAACCTTGTTGGTTAGGATGAGGCACCACACCCACCTGGTTGAGGTTGGATTGTTTGAGCTTCCCCACCACCACATGCTCCAGCACCATCTTCTTCTTGCTCATCTGCACCATTCGCTCCTCCACTGTTGCCCGCGTCACCAGCCGGTATATCATCACCTGTGATGGAGTGGCAGATGGAGCACCGCATACACACGCGGCACAAATACACACAGAGAGGCACGAACTTGAGAGTGCCGAGTGTGCTTGGCCCTGGCAAGCAGGGATGAGAAAGCATTTGCGTCTCATCAAATACACAGGGGAATGCCTCGTACGGAGTGGCAAAAACTTGCATACGCACGCACTGCACACGGAACGCACATATGAGTGTGCATGGTCAGTCCCTCACTCACTCACACCCATGCACCCACCCACTCTGCCCCACTCTCCCCCCTCCTCCACCAACCCCCCCACACACACACACGCACGCCCCTACGCCCGCCCGCCCACCCGCATGCACGCACACACCCCCCTTACCGTTTGGGTCTGCCCCAGCCTGTGCGCGCGAGCCATGGCCTGCAGATCTGCATGCGGATTCCAGTCACTGCCATGGGGCAGGGAGAATGGGTGAAAAGTGGGGAAAGGGGGTAGATGGGAGTAAGCGGGTGGGGGGAAAAGAGGGAGGGGAGAGTGGTGCTAGAGGCTATTGAGAGCATATGGCGAGCCATGGCCTGCAGGTTGGCGTGCGGGTTCCAGTCACTGCCAGGGGGGTGAGGTGACAGAGCAATACTGCCACCCCACCACTACTGCCACCGCACCACTACTGCCACCCCACCACTACTGCCACCCCACCACTACTGCCACCCCACCACTACTGCCACCCCACCACTACTGCCACCCCACCATATGGGGTAAATATACTCATAGTGCCGGGCCAGGCCCCATTGCGAGTTGAAAGGAGTCTATTCTTGAGGCGCCTCAAAAGTGTGATGAGTCTATTTTTTAGTCGACTCAGAATGAGGTACCTTACGAAGAGACTACTCACAGTGCCGGGCCGGGCCGGGCCGGGCCGGGCTGGGCCCCATTGCCGAGTTGAAAGGGAGCAATACAGAGCAGCCGGACCCTGATAAAGTGAAGCTACAGCCAGAGTCTAAACTCTCAGATTACCTACCTGTCCTGTCCCATACAATCTCATTCTTTCCGCAGCCGTTGTATATCTGTAACAGCAGTGGCCAGGTTAATCCCGAGTCCCCCAGCACAAGTGGAGAGGATGAACACAAAATGAGTCGACCTCAGCAAAACCACAAACTACACTTCGAAAATACCTGTCCTATATGGTCACATCTTCTGTTTCGCACCTGTCGTATATAATCACAGTGTCAGCAGTGGCGAGGTTGATCCCCAGCCCACCAGCGCGCGTGGAGAGCAGGAACACAAAGCGGCTAGACCCGGGAGCATTGAACCGGTCGATTCGCTGCTGCCGGTCCGTGCCGCTCACGCTGCCGTCTATGCGCTCACACCCCCAGCCCTGTGGGACAGGAAATTCGGTTAAGGGGATGGAGGGAGTGGTTAGTAGGAGTAATAAGAAGAAGACTGGGCCACAGTGCGTTGAACCAATCGATGCGCTGCTGGCGGTCCGAGCCGCCACTGGTGCTGCTGCCAATGTGCTCACAACCCCAGACACCCCTGACGGATGGGGTGTTTGGGTAGGGGCGGAAGGAATGGAGCACACAGTGGCTGTGGGAGTGGAGGAAGGGTTCACCCCAACCCGCTGGATGCACACAGTGGGTGCAGTGAGTTGGATCGTCAGGCTCCCACAGTGGTGGGAGGGTAACAGAATCAGGCTCCCATCAGAGCGCTGCTGGAGGTCCGAGTGAGCTTATAAGCTCCGATTGTCTGTCAACTTGCTTTTACATCTCCACTCCACCTGGCTGGACGAAAAAAGCGGCTAACGTTGCCAGCCAGCCAGCCGCTGCTCAGCAGCAGATCGAGCACGCGCTTGAACTGCACGGAGAAATCGGCCAGGTCATTAATTGAGTCACGTGACTCATCCATCCATCCATCCAACCCAGCTCGCCTCACCATCCCCGCCTTGCTTCATCAAATCAGTACCTAAGAATCACTCACCTTGCCCATGAGCCACCCACCTTGCCCATGAGCCACCCACCTTGCCCATGAGCCACCCACCTTGCCCATGAGCCACCCACCTTGCCCATGAGCCACTCCTGCAGCAGGTCGGTCCAGCATGCGCTTGAACTGTGAGTACACCAGCACGACCAACTCAGTTCTGAGATTCCTTACTTTCCAGTCCCACTCTACTCTAATGATAGTGATTCACCTTCCCCTCCCCACCACCCAGCTACCCACCTTGCCCAGGAGCCACTCCTGCAGCAGGTCCAGCATGCGCTTGAACTGCGAGTACACCAGCACAGCTGAGTCAGCTCACAGACACCAGCACAGCTGAGTCAGCTCACAGACACCAGCACAGCTGAGTCAGCTCACAGACACCAGCACAGCTGAGTCAGCTCACAGACACCAGCACAGCTGAGTCAGCTCACAGACACCAGCACAGCTGAGTCAGCTCACAGACACCAGCACAGCTGAGTCAGCTCACAGACACCTGCAGATTCACATGAGATCCGCTATTCCAATCCCACTCAACTCTAGCCAAGCCACTCACCCACCTTGCCCATGAGCCACCCACCTTGCCCATGAGCCACTCCTGCAGCAGGTCCAGCATGCGTTTGAACTGCGAGTACACCAGCACGCGATGCCCCCCCGCTTTCAGCCGCTCCAGCATTCGCTCCAGCAGAGCCAGCTTGTCTGATGCCACCACCATGCGCCTGGGAGGGAAGTGCATGGAGAGGAACAAGGGACAGGGAGGGAACAGGGGCAAGGTGAGTGCACCAGCACAAGGTGCCCCGGCCTTGAGCTGCTCCAGCATTCGCTCCAGCAGAGCCAGCTTGTCTGATGCCACCACCATGCGCCTGGGAGGGAAGGGACGTACACAGAAGGTGAGGACAGGGGACAGGGGAAGGGAGGGAATAGAGGTGACGGGCATTGCTACCGTGTGTGTGGCGCTCCAGAATTCGCTCCAATTGGGACGTTTAGTTGGATACTACTGCCATATTGGTGCGACTTTTGAGAAACCTCAAAAGTCGCACCGACATCCAGTAGGATGCTGCTACCATATGCCGGGGAAAGAAGACAAGTACATGGAGTGAGAGTGTGCCAGCAGGAGAGGGTGAGTGAAAACCCTCCTTTCCCACTTCTTCCTCGTGCCCCTTCCATGGAACGGGTGCCAGCACATCTTCCTTAGCTGTGGTCTCTCTGTGCGGCCATTTCCCCCCCCCCACCCCACCGTCACTAACCGGCTGGCTTCTGCTGGGGTATCTCCGCCTCCGTGCTGCTCCTCCACGCCCTCCACCAGGAACGGGTGGCAGCACACCTTCCTCAGCTGCATCATTGTGTTTGTGAGGGAGACCTGGGGGGGGGGTGAAGGCAAGGTAATAACAACGGGAGATGAGAAGAGGCGATGCAGACAGCACCCCCTCCACGCCCTCCACCAGGAACGGGTGGCAGCACACCTTCCTCAGCTGCATCATTGTGTTGGTCAGCGATACCTGAAGGGGGGACATGAAGGGAAGGCGGGTGGGAGGGGGAGCAGGCGGGTGAGTACCGTACCGGGCACAGCAGGAACAGGTGACACTCTTTGCGCCCTTCACCAGGCACGGGTGGCAGCACACCTTCCTCAGCTGCATCATTGTGTTGGTCAGGCATACCTGTGACTCGTGAGGGGAGATGAAGGTAAGTAAAGGGTGGTAACAGCCGTATACGCTGAGTAAGGGGAGAAAGTTGAGGGTAGCACACGTATAAGCACAGCCGTGCTCCATGAATGGAACGCACCTGCTGCCCGGACGCCTTGGTAAGCACCTGGTAGTTGTGATGCGAGTGAGCACAGTGCAGTGCTGCTATAAGTAAGGAGCAGAAGTACAGCGTTCCCTGCGTAAAACGTACCTGCTGCCCCGACGCCTTGGTGAGAACCTGGTAGTTGCAGGTGAGCACAGCACGGTGCAGCGAGCGATCCCCAAGTAAAGACGACAAGCACAGTATTACGTGTTCGGTGCAGTGGTGTTTGTAAGTAGCAGGTGCAAGTACGGCACTCCGTGTGCACAATGTACCTACCTGCTGCCCAGACGCCTTGGTGAGAGCCTGGTAGTTGCGGGTGAGCACAGCTCGGTACAGCGAGCGCTGCAGCGGCGCCAAGTCCACACGCAGAATCTGCTCCTTCTTGGGCGGCATCTGCTTCAACACGTCCTTCTTCAGCCCTGGGAGAATACCGGGTGGAGAGTGGACGGGGAAAGAGAAATGGAGAGCAACATATAAGGTGGTGGTGAGGGTGTCATTTTCATGGCTCTGCTCCTTCTTGGGCGGCATCTGCTTCAACACGTCCTTCTTCAGCCCTGGGAGAAGAGAGTGAGGGGGGAAGGACAATGTCCAATATAAGGAACCTCGTCTGATGAGCAAGAGCTTCACGACCAGAGGTTTGAAGCATAAGGCTCAGAGTTTAAAAATTCAGGGTCTTTAAATTTAGAGGTCGGGGTATCGATTCAGATGTGTTTACATGTGGTGAGGTGTGAGCAGGTGATGCAGCTTGGCCACTCGCTACTGTGCCATGCATGTAGAGCGAGCAACGGGATCAACAACGAGAGGAGCAAGAGCTTCAGCCACTAGGGTTCAGGGCCTTGGGCTTGGAGTTTGGGGTTTGTGGCTATGTGGAGAAAGACGCGTCCAGCGTCCTGGACGCATGCGTCCAGACGATGGACGCTAGTTTAGGGCCCCCGAGACGCAGCAAAAGACGCAGGTCCGGGCAGCCAGAAAAAACCCCCCGGGCAGCCAAAAAAAAGTTGGGCTTTGTGGGGGTTTTCATGAACTAAATGGGCTTTGTGGGGGTGGTGGACCACAAAGGTTGGGTTTCCTAGTTGTGGAGTGGTGGAGAGGGGTTGGATTTCCAAATCAATTTTGCAAAAAGGGGAGGGGGTTAGGGGTGAATTAGATGGCTGGTTTTGGGGGTCGAATTTGCTTGGGGGGTGTCGAATTTCGGCGAAATTGACATTCGCGACGAAATCGCGAATGTCAATTTCGCGATCGCGAAAAAAAAAAAAAATCTCGGTCTGCCCGAAAAATTTTCCAGGGTGCGTCCCGCGGCCGGACGCGCGTCCTGCGTCTTTGCGTCCGGACGCTGTGTCCGGACGCTGCGTCCGGACGCAGGACGCAGGGCTGCCCCAGCGTCTTTCTCCACATAGGTTTGTGGTTTCAATTCAGGTATGCTTACGCCTGAGCAGGTGTGGCGCTAGCAGGTGGTGCAGCTTGGCCACCTGCTGCCATGCCGAGTATGAATAACAAAAGCAACAAGAGCTTCAGGGTCTGGGGATCGGAGCTAGTGGTTTTGATTCAGGTATGCTTACGCCTGAGCAGGTGTGGCGCCAGCAGGTGATGCAGCTTGGCCACCTGCTCCTCCTGCCCCAGCTGCTGGAACTCGCCCTGAAACCCCTCCAGACTCGCAAACTGCCGCCAGGGTGTTATGGTGCAAGGGCACCCGGAACATAGCATGGGAGCACACCGGGGAAGGGACACAAGGCAAGGGGGTTATGGTGCAAGGGGCAACACGAACATAACACAGAAAGACACGGGGCAAGGCAGGGAAAGAGTTCGAGTGGGGTTGGGGGCAAGGGAATGGTGCAGCTTTTCTCTAAGGGAATGCAAGATAGCTACAGAGGAACCTTACCGGCTGCCGTTGCCAGGGGAACCGCTTGCCATACTCAATCTTTCACCTCACCTCACTCACCCATATTGAGTACTTCGTTTGTACTTTGGTGGCATCCAGAAACCACATGGTCGCCTTCCCATCGCATTGCTAACGCTCACCCTCTCGCCTCACTTCGCTCTCTCCCTCGCGATAGGTTGGTCACGCTCCTCCCCTCAACTTTCCTCACCTCACCTCACCTCACCTCACCTCACCTCACCTCACCTCACCTCACCTCACCTCACCTCACCTCACCTCACCTCATCCCCATCCACTCCATCGCTCACCTTATCGGCATCGAGGAAGTGCATGAGGATGAAAAGTTCGTCCAGATTGTTCTGCCAGGGGGAAATGGGGGGACATGTGGATGCAAGATAAAGGGGGGCGCAAGGGAAGGGTGCAGGAAGAGGATGAGGACGGACTTAGAGCAGCGGGAACAACTTGGACGCAGCAGCGGGGAGACAGTGAGGGGGGCAATGCATTGCACAACCCGTTACCTGCAGAAAAGTGCGTCGAGTTTTGAGTCGACTCAAAACTCGACTCAAAACTTGAGTCGACTCAAAACTCGACTCAAAACTTGAGTCGACTCAAAACTCATTGCACAACCCGTTACCTGCAGAAAAGTGCCGGTGAGCAGCAGGGGGTGCAGGGAGGAGTAGCTGTGCGGCGTGCCGGACAGCTTTGACTCCTTGTTCTTCAGGCGGTGCCCTTCATCCACCACCACGCACCCCCACCGCACCAACACCACCCTCTCTTCACCCCCACCCCCACGCCCTCACCTGCAGGCTGCTACCACTGAACACGTTACCTCAAGAAGAGAGCCCAGCCAGCATACCTGGACACACAGTGTAGGGCACGGCACAACTCGCTAGTCACCTGCAGGGGAGTGCCGGTGAGCAGCAGGGGGTGCAGGGAGGAGTAGCTCTGCAGCGTCCCAAACAGCTTGCTCTCCTTGTTCTTCAGCCGGTGCCCCTCGTCCACCACCACGCACCCCCACCGCACCAACGCTACCCACCACCCCACCCTCTCTTCAACCCCATGCCCTCATGCCCTCACCTGCTATCACTGAACACGTTACCTCAGAGGAGAGCCCAGTTAGCATACCTGGACACACAGAAATGGGCACAGCACAACTCGCTAGTCACCTGCAGGGGAGTGCCGGTGAGCAGCAGGCGGTGCAGGGACGAATAGCTCTGCAGCGTCCCAAACAGCTTACTCTCCTTGTTCTTCAGGGCGGTGCCCTTCGTCCACCACCAGGCACCCCCACCGCACCTGCCTCAGCTGCTGCGAGTCACTGTTCACCACCTCGTATGACGTCAGAAGCACGTCAAACCTCACCCGCTCCTGCCGGGACAGTTGCTGTTGCTGCTGCATGCGCCCACCAGGGGGAATGCGTTTGCTGCCCCCCTTGATGCTGCCGCCCCCCCTGCTTCTGCCTGCTGATGCGCTGCGTGGCTCGCGCTTTCCACGATGAGTGCCTTTCCCACTGCGCCTGACCTTCGCCCGCTTGCTCAGTGGCATTTCCTCCTCGTCCTCTTCTTCCTCCTCTTCCTCTTCCTCCTCCTCATTCTCACTACCCTCCTCTTCACTCGCCTCCTCCTCACTCTCCTTCTCCCCACTCCCCTCCTCTGCCACCACCACATACTCCTCATCATCCTCATCAGAAGACTCATCTGATGACGATGCTGACTCTCCCCTCCGCCGCTTCCGCCCCTTCTGTTGCTGCTGTTGCTTCATCTCCCTTCCTCTCTTCTTCCCTCGATCCTTCGTTCCCTTCACTTCTCTTAGCCTGCCCTTCTCCCGACCCCTAACATCCCTCCCTGTACTATCGCTTCTCATCACACCCCTGCTCCTTGCCTCCCTATCTTGCTCTCTCGTAACACTGTGGGAAGCCCTCGTCCCCATCTGCCTGCGTCTACTCTTCCCTGCCTGCTCTTCCTCCTCCTCTTCCGCTTCCTCCTCATCCTCTTCCTCCTCCTCCTCTTCCTCCTCCTCCCTTTCCTCCTCGCCTCCTCCCTCCATATCCTCCAGCACTCCAACCTCTTCCACCTCATCCTCACTATCCCCATCTGACCCGCCAGAGGGCTCCTCAGACTTCTCAGACTCAGAAGACAGCACCATCCTCCCACTCTTTCGTTTCCTCTTGGGCCGCTGCACCTGTCGTGATACCTCCCTCCCGACCTTCCCACCTTTCCCTTTGTGTCCACGCTTCTTGCTCTCTCCACCCTTCCCTTTCTCGCCACCTTTCCCCTTCTTCCCGCCCTTCACCTGCTTCCCTTGCGTGCGCGTATCCTTGGTTGAAGGAGGAGGGGGAGGCGTGTAGGAGGAGGGGAAGAAGAACTCGTGTTCTCGAATCAATGCTCTTGCTGCCCCTGTTCCCACATACATCATCTGCACGCATGCACACGTATACATGCCCACATGCATAGATGCACATAAGTGCCCCCATGCACCCGTACACCCATGCACCCATGCACCCATGCACCCATGAACCCATGCACCCATGAACCCATGCACCCATGCACCCATGCACCCATGCACCCATGCACCCATGAACCCATGCACCCATGGACACGAGCATGTACGCATGCACACATGAACACATGCGACGTGCACATGAACACATGGACACGTGGCCACACGCCCACATGCCCCCAAATGTACACATGCACACATGCACACATGCACACTTGCAGACATGCACACATGCACACACGCAGACATACACACGTGCACACATGCACACATGCACACATGCACACACGCAGACATGCATACGTGCACACATGCACACAGGCACGCACGCACGCACACAAGCACACAAGCATGCACGCACACACGCATGCACCCATGCATGCGTGCACACATGCACACATACCCCCATGCATGCATGCGAAATGTGTGTGTGGTAAGCACAAGAGTGCAGAAGGGCAAGGGAAGGAGGAGATAGAGTTGTGAGACACCGCATGACACACCAGGCGTGTGTGAGCAAGCAAGCATAAACATGAGACAGCAGAAGCAGGTTCGGGGTACGCCAGGGAAGAAGGGAGTGGGAAGGGAGGAGCGAGGGAGGGAGGGAGGGAGGGAGGGAGGGAGGGAGGGAGGGAGGGAGGGAGGGAGGGAGGGAGGGAGGGAGGGAGGGAGGGAGGGAGGGAGGGAGGGAGGGAGGGAGGGAGGGAGGGAGGGAGGGAAGGAGGGAGGGAAGGAAGGAGGGAGGGAGGGAGGAGCCACGTGCACATGGACGGACCATGTGGAAAATTCCACTGCTACTTGCGCGGCACAGAGCAGAAAGGAGCATAAACGTCGACGGGTTGGACACTCACCACGCACAGGTGCGGCGCCCGCCCACGTGGCGAATTCGCGCTGCCAGTTGCGGAGAGTCCAGAGCGGCGCGACCACCATGTGAGGGAGTGCAGAAGAGTACAGAGCGGTACAGAGCGGTTGATAGGGCACTCACCACTCGCAGATGGGGCGCCCATGTTGCAAACTCGCGTTGCCAGTTGCGGAAAGTGGAGAGCGGCACGACCACCATGTGGGGGAGTGCAGAGGGAGGGGTACTGAGGGGCCTAGCGCAGCAGGGGCTACGAGAGCATGTGCACTCACCACGCGCAGGTGGGGCGCCCAAGTTTCAAATTCGCGCTGCCAGTTGCGCAGAGTTGAGAGCGGCACGACCACCATGTGAGGGAGTGCTGTGGCCCTCTCCTCGTGCAGGGATGCGAGGAAGGAGATTGCCTGCACTGTCTTGCCTGCGGTGGGTGGGTGGGAATAAATAAGGAACGCACCAGGGTGAGAGACAAAGGATGAGGAAAGGGGGAAGGCAGCACGAGGTGGGTTGCATGAGCGCTGTGGCCCTCTCCTTGTGTAGCGATGCGAGGAAGGAGATCGCCTGCACCGTTGCACGAGACGGTGCACCGTCGTGCCTGCGATGGATGGGTGGGCATGAGGGACGACGGTGGGAAGGCAGCAGCAGCAGGTGTTGAGATGAGAGAGGCACTAGGGAGTGGTGGGGTGGCCTCTCCTCGTGCAGTGAGGCACCGTGTTGCCTGCGGAGGGTGGAAGGCGAGAGACAGATGGACGGCTTTTGAGGGACGAGGGATGCAAGAACACGACCAGCTGGTGGCGAGATGAGTGAGGTTGACGTTGACGACCTCATCACATGAGAATTCTCAAAAGAGATGAGTGAAGTTGACGGCCTCATCACATGCAGCGATGCGAGGAGGAACATGGCACTGATGACCATCTTGGAACCCACGTATGCCACCCATCCACCCAGCCTATGTGTCGCACGGTCGCACCACCCACCCAGCCTATGTGTCGCACCAACGTGACTCGCCCAGCAACCCAGCCCCACTTGTGCACCTCACCCAACCCACGTCCCCTCCTGCGGCTCATCCCAACCCCCCCAACCCCCCCTCCCTGCGACTCGCCCAGCCCCCCCCTTCTCCCCTTATGCAGCTCACCCCAACCCCCGCCCGCACCCCCTCTTCCCCCCCCCTCCCCTGTGGCTCACTCACCCAGCCCCATCTCGTCCGCCAGAATCACGTGCTGCTTCTGCTTCCTGTATGTGTTGAAGTGCCTCACACACACAACCACCCCCCCTTCTCCCTCATGCGGCTCACCCCAACTTCCCCCCCCACCCCACCCCCCCCCATGTGGCTCACTCACCCAGCCCCATCTCGTCCGCCAGAATCACGTGCTGCTTCTGCTGCCAGGCGAATCGCAGCCAGTTCAGCCCCTCCAGCTGGTACGGGTGCAGCATACCTGGACAGGTTTGAAGAGAGAGAAAGGCATAGGGGGTGATATGGGAAGAGCATGCGTGTAGGTGCAGCGAACCAGGACGACTTAAAAGCGAGAGAAAGACGTGGAAGGTCAGGAGGTGATTCAGCTAGCTGCATAGAGGTGCAGCGAACCTGGACGGTGGCAAAGTGAGTGGAAGAAACATGGGGTTAAAGCAGGAGAAGGAGAGCAGGACAGGGGAGCACGGCTGAGCAAGCAGACAAGAGCAAGCAACACAACAGGGATGGGAAGGACAACTAGGAAGACAGACAGGCGATGGTGGTGTCTAACAGTCGTGTTACATTGCATGCTTAACACTTGTGTTAACAGTCATATAACAAGGAGGGGATAGCAGTTAACAGTACAGTTACCAGACTTTAAGATGCGTCGCCTCGGCTGGCATGCAAAAGCACCAACCTTTCAGAAAGCCGGGTGTTTCCTTGAACTCCATTCGCTTCCTCTTCTGCACTCCCCTCTCTGCCTCCTTACCCGCTCCCTCTCCCCCGCCCACCAGTCCCCACGCCACTGCTTTAGGTCCTCTCGCCATCATCTCCTCATACTCCTTAAGAGCCTCCTCGAAACCTTCTACAACTGCCTCACCACTCTCCTCCTCTCCTTTCTTTCTCACACCCTTCTTCCCTTTTCCATCTCCTCCTGACCCTTTCTTCCCTTGATCACCATCCTTCGCCCCATCCTTCAACCCCTCCTTTTGCTCTTCTTTCATGCCATTGGCCGGCTCTCTTCCTTTGCTCCGCAAATCCTCCTCTGTCTCCCAGGTAGCCTCGTCGTACCCCAACTCTCGCCACTTAACTAAGTACTCCTGCTGCCCCTTGCGGTTCTTCCTGCGAAAACAACAGCCACGGGGAGAAGGAGCAGAGTAGGAGGCTGGCAAATGAAAACTTTCCTGATTGAATTGCAACAAGGCATGGCAGAAAGAGTGGAAAATGTCATTTTCTAGTCGACTTATACACAGGAGCACAAAAAGTGATTCTTGGTGAATAACAGCACACGGGAGCACAAAAAGTGATTCTTGGTGAATAACAGCACACGGGAGCACAAAAAGAAGGTGACAACAGCGCAGCAACGCAAACCACTCATCACTCATTCACGATTCTCTCCACAACTAGCCAATCAGGTATTTTAATTAGAATTCGGAAAAATCGAATTCAACAGCGCAGCAAAGCGAACCACTCATCACTCACTTGGCGTTGACAATTCGCTCCACAACCAGCCAGTCAGGTCGCAGCACTGGCACCGCCCCACTCTCCTCCGGGTCCTCCTCCCCATCCCCGTACAGCGCGCTCTGTGCTGCTGCCTCTGCCCTCTGCCGCAGGTAGTTCCTCATCCGGGCTTTAAGCCCCGGAAAGCTCTTTGCTGCTGCCTCCAATGCTGTAGCTCCCACCCTGAAAAGGGGGGGGGGTTGGGGGAAGGGAGACGCAAAGGGGAAGAAGGAGGGGAGGGAGAGGAGGGAGTGAGGGATACTGAACGGCGAGGAGATTGAGAAAGCATGGTGCTCTGGAGTCTGGGCGCCTTTGCCCGCTGCCGCAGGTAGTTCCTCAACCAAGCTTTAAGCCCTGGAAGCTCTTTGCTGCTGCCTCCACCTTTGCAGCTGCCACCCTGAAGATATTTAAGGGGGTTGAAGGGTTAAAGGTGGAGCAGTGGAGCAGTGGAGCAGGGGAGCAGTGAAGCGGTGGGGATTTTTGTCGATTTACAAACAGGCAACGAAAGTGGTGAAACGGGAGAGGAAAAAAAGAGTGTGTGAGAGCTGACGGGAGAAAAGGAGAAAGCACGCTAGTCATTGTAGATCCCCTACAAGCAGTCAGACAGAGCGAGCACGTCAAGTGGTCCGAATGAGTACTAAGGAGTGCGTGTGAGGGAGAGAAACGGAGTGGGAGGGATGTTCTGAGTCGACTCAAAACAAGACTCGTTTCCCGCGGAATATGTCGACTCGCTGAGAATATGTCAGAAGACCGAGTAGTCCGAATGAGAGTTAAGGAGCGTGTGTGAGGGAGAGAAACGGGGTCGGAGGGAGGTTCAACAAGAGGAACAGGAGTATACCAGGTGCAATGAATGTGCGACTTGTCCCTCCACTTGATCAAATACTCCTCCACTCGCCTCCTCTCACCCCGCCCTCCACTGTCATCGCCATCTCTACCACCATCGCCACTCCTCTTGCCATCACCAACCCCCTCTCTGGTCCCCCCATCCACCGCCACCTCTCTTCCCTCACCACCCTCTCCGCCCCCCTCGCCCCCCTGCTCCACCTCTCTCACGCCCAAAAACCGCTCAGTGCTGACCAGTCATGGCCCTGCATGAGGAGAGCCAGACGGGCGAGAGAGAGAGGGGGGGTGAGCGGACAGTAATCGCAAAAAAAAGCGAGATTGTGGCTTGGGTCTCATGTACTCATATCAAATACATGCATGACATAGCATCGCATGGCACGGCATGGGATGGCATGGGATGGCATGGGATGGCATGGGATGGCATGGGATGGCACGGCACGGCATGACACGGCACGGCACGGCACGGCATGGCACGGCATGGCATAGCATGGCACAGCATGGCATGGAATGGCATGGCATGGCATGGAATGGCATGGCATGGCTTGGCATGGCATGTGACTCACGCATTTGGGGCAGAACCAGGCGCCTTCAGGCACGTGGGAGAGAGGCGGGTGCAGGCAGTACAGATGGTACACAGCGGGGCACGCGTCACACATCAGCAACTCTCCATCGCCCCCGCACACCTCGCACACGTCATCGTCCTCCGCAGCCACCTCAGCTTCCTCTCCTGACACGTCAGCATCCCCCCCAGCCTTCTCCTCTGACACGTCAGCATCCCCCTCAGCCTCCTCCTCTGACACGTCAGCATCCACCTTAGCTGCCTCTTCATCCCCCCCCTGCTCATCTCCCACCTCCACCCCCTCCATCGCCTCTTCGCCACCCCTCCCCGTCTTCCCCTCGACTTTCCCCGCACTTCCGCTTCCCCCCGCCTTCCCACCCTTCCCCGTGGCCGTCGTTGCGCCATCCAGCTTTTCCCCCCCTGCTGCGCTTGGAGACGCGGAGGGTTCTGCGTTCACCGTCTCTGATCGCCTCTCCTTCCCCTTACCACCACCTCTTTTCTCGCTTGTTTTTGCATCTGTTTTCCTTGATTTGACATCTGATTTCCCTGTTTTAGCCGCCTTTCCGCCTCTTCCGCTACCCCCTCCCGCCTCCTCCCGCTCTTGCTCCCGCAGCCAGGCTTCGAACGCCGCGTCGTCGTCGTCGTCAGTGTAGACGGGTAGCCGTGAGCTGCGATTCGACCGGTTGGAGAACCGGCGGGATTGCAAGTCCCGCGACATCGCTTACCTCCCGCCTTTGGGATTCCCGGATCGCACGCAACCAGGTTCGACGATTTCGCAGCCTGAAAATCCGCCACAATCGCCGCTTAGGGATTAATTGCACGCATAACATGTGAACGCATCAGGTTATTGGACGGGACTGGAGGAGATGAAGGACTACTTATAAATCATGATAGTCTTAGTGGGTAGTACTATGTGATGCCATAGGTCCAGATCTGAAATGTCCTATCATCTTCCTCATCAGGCCTATGGTATGGTGGCGTGCGAAAACTAGAAACCACCTTTCGCCGACTGTCGCTAACGTGCGGTAACCCTATCGCACAAACCATGTGGTAACCTTGAGAATTGTCCTCAGAGGTGGTTCGTGAGTGAGTGTGGAGCAGGGGACCCATGTCATCCATGACATGGCATGAGGTGACATGAAACGGCCTGGCCTGGAGGAACCCGAACTGCAGGGTGAGTTGTAATGACATAGCTGGAATGTTGGAAACTCAAGGCGTTTCAACATGCCTCAACAGCTTGCGTACCGGGGGTACGTGACACTAGGTCGTTCTGTGCCTGGAGCCTATCACTGGGCGGATGTGACCTCCTAGAGGGCTGTCTCAGCAGAGAACACAATTGGGCAGATGAAACTCTGTTGAAATCTCTATTGAAACATGAAAACTGCCCGTGAAAAAAAGTACAGTAACAATAGAACCCTAAACCAATACAGTAATAATAGAACCCTAAACCCTTCATATTGCCCACCCAACAATTGGGGTTCTCATATCAGTTTGTAACTTGTAGTATAGTTACACTTGTCCCAGACCCATTCGTAGCCCATTTTCCTTGTTAATGCGATCCAAAGAGGGCCCACCATAACAAGGCGTGCATGCATCATGTCATCCATCATAACAATAACACCAAAACCCAACCATCGTTACGCCAAGAACATTCATTCCTCTAATGACGAAGAGCGTCCCCACTAGAGGCACCCACGCCTCTATTCCCGCCAAATCTGCACGCGTCTCGCAATCACACGTCTCGCAATCACACATCTCGTAATCACGCATTTCGCAATCACGCATCTCGCAATCAAATCTCCGGCGCATCAATCCTGATCTAGAGTGTTTCTACGACGGCAGCAGCGAACACATGTGTGACGCACCGAACCGTCTGTGTGACGCGCGATCTCATCCTGCTCACCAGCAGTTACGTTAGATTTCGAAAAGGTGAGTCACCTCCATGTTGTGCATACCACCGTCTAACCCGCCACTTGCCACTGACACCCGTCGCTTGCACTCAGCGCACCTTACCCAGAGGCAAATCTGATGGTTAGAGAGGTGCATGCGAGTAGAGCTCTCTGTCAAACTTATATGATATAGCCTGTGTAGGTTGTAGCGGGTTAGATACTAAGGGGTACACAATTCTAGGGTTTCATATTTGTATCACTTTCATTCCTTAGTCAATTTATTCTCGTTCTAAGTTTCTCATGGTATCGAGCAGGTTCCCTCGTGGGAACTGTTCCTAGGGCCCACCAAGATTTTTTTTCCTACTCGGGGCGCGTGCCGCCCCTGCCCGAAGCGCGCCTAGTGTCCCGCCCTTAGCGACCCGTCGCGCCCTTCTTAGCGGCCCCTCAGGCCCCGTCGCTGCCCTCTCTAGGCCCCGCGTGGCCCCTTAGCGGCCCCGTCGCCGCCCCTTACAGCGGCGCGACCGCCTCTTACGGCCCCGCGACCGCCCCTTACGGCCCCGTCGCCGCCCCTCACGACCCCCGCGACCGCCCCTTACGGCCCCGTCGCCGCCCCCTCACGACCCCGCGACCGCCCCTTACGGCCCCGTCGCCGCCCCTCACGGCCCTGCGACCGCCCCTTACGGCCCCGTCGCCGCCCCTTAAGGCCCCGTCGCCGCCCCTTACGGCCCCGTCGCCGCCCCTTTCGGCCCTGTCGCCGGCGAGCCGCGACCCCGTAGCCGCCCTTAGCGGCCCCGTCGCCGTCCCCCCTCCCCTCGGCCTCGTCGCTGCCCTTCATCGGCCACGTCGCCGCCCCTCCGCGGCCCCTTCGCCGCCCTTCAGCGGCCCCATTGCCGCCCTTCCGCGGCCCCGTCGCCGCCCTTTCGCGGCCTCGGCGCCGCCCTTCAGCGGCCCCGTCGCCGCCCCTCAGCGGCCTCATCGCCGCCCTTCAGCGGCCTTGTTGCCGCCCCTTGCGGCCCCGTCACCGCCCTTCGCGGCCCTGCCGCCCTTCCTCGGCCCCTCAACCGCCCTTCCCGGCCCCGTCGAGCAACCGAGCCGCCGTCACTGCCGAGCTGCCGAGCCGCCCTTGCCACCGTGCCGCCGAGCTGCCGAGCCGCCGAGCAGCCGAGCTGCCGAGCCGCCGAGCCGCCGAGCTGCCGAGCCGCCAAGCCGCCGAGCCGCCCTGCAACCGAGCCGCCAAGCCGCCAAGCCGCCACGCCGCCGCAGCCGAGACGCCGCAGTCCCTGCAGTCGCGGCCCTGTCCCTGCGCCTGCCTCTGCCCGCCCCACCTGCCTGGTAAGAGCAGCGCCTCTGCCACTGCACTGCCCTTCCCCACTGCTCTCTCTGCCAGTCTACTGCTGTCATGGCCACCCCCAGTGTTCTCACCTTTGACGCTAAGGGTCGGGCTGTTGTCTTTGAGGTCTGGGTAGATGATCTGCAGCTTTTCCTACAGTGCGATAGGGCAGACGTTCTCTCTCTGTTTGACCTCACCTCTGGTGCCTCTCCTGCCCCTGCTGCTGATGCTGACGCCACTGTTCGCTCACAGTGGGCCACGCGCGATGCTGCTGCTCGCCTTGCTGTGCGCCACCACTTACCGACCGCTGAGCGCGCGCATTTTAGTCAGTACAAGAGTGCTAAGACCTTGTACGACGCTGTCGTTGCACGCTACTCTTCCCCTGCCACTGCTGCCCTTAGCTGCCTCATACTGCCGTACCTCTTCCCTGACCTCGCCGCTTTTCCCACAGTCGCTGACCTCATTACGCACCTTCGCACTAGTGACACTCGCTACCGCGCTGCACTTCCTGCTGAGTTCTGCGCCAAGAACCCCCCCCCAATGTACATCACCCTCTACTACATAGTCACCTGGCTCCCTGACACCCTTCGCTCGGTTAGGGACCACTTCCTCTCTGTTTTCCCCACCACCCTCACCGTTGACCTCCTCGAGGAGCGCCTCTAGCAGCAGAACAGAGTAAAGTTGCTGTAGGAGCCTCTCGTGGTGACCCTTGTACCCCTGTCTTTGAGGGGTGCTCCCCCTCCCCCCTCTTGCCCTCTGTTGCCTCTGCTGCTGCGGCCGACCTCGTTGGTCTTGAGTCGGTCGGCGCGGCGTCTCCCCCTAGCGGGAGACGCCACTCAGCAAGGGCAAGGGGGGCAAGGGCGCTGGAGGAGCTGGCGGGGG